AGGGGGGCAGGAAGCAGACCTGGCGGGGGCGGGGGAGATGCAGCCACTGGCCTCAGCCGGAGTCCTTGTGTACGTCACCGCACCCTCTTCCTCCTTCCACTGTGGCACTGAGTGGTGCACCCCTCAGTCGGGCCGCCACGGGAGAAGGGAAGGGGGGGCGGTGACATAGACAGGGGGCGTGGCCGTGTACGTCACTGCCCCCTTCCCCTCCTGCTGTGGAACTCAGCTGAGTGCTGCGCCCCTCAGCCAGGCCGCCGGGGGAGCCAGCAGTGCAAGGGGCTGTTTGGGCTCCCCCGGGGTGGGAGGGGAACAGAGGGCGGTGATGTACATGGACCCTCCCCCTGGCCCTGTACGTCACCGTCCCGCCCCCTCCCTCGCGGCAGCCCGGCTGAGCAGTCAGCACTCAGCCAAGCGCCACGGAGGGAGGGAAGAGAAGGGGAAGGGGGGCGGGGAGAGATGAAGGAGAGAGAGAGGCAGGAGGAGGAGGAAAAGTGAAAGGGAGAGTGAAAGGCAGTAGGGGGAGAAGAGAAAGAAAGAGACGGAGAGAGGGCGGAGGAGAGCTGAGAGAAAGCGGGGGAGGCAGTAGGAGGACAGAGAGAGAGAGAGAGAGAGAGAGAGAGAGAGCGCTCAGGAGAGAAGACCTGAAAATCCCATCTTATGACGGGCTAATTGGCTAGTTTCTAAATAATAAGCAGAGCATCCACACTACCAAGCCCATTATTTTGAAATAACTGGCTGGTTATTTCAAAATCTGTACTCTATTTTCCTTGGGGAATAAGCTTATTTTGATTTTGTTATTTAGGGAATTATTTCAAATTTAGTTATTTTGAAATAATTTCCTAGTGTAGACCTGCCTGAAGGAGTTAATATTTAGTGTAGTAGTGGTTGGGGGTCATGCCTTGGAGCTGTTTAGAAAAAAATTGACAACATTTTTTTTGTTGGAAATTGCCGGATAATGAAAATTAAAGTCCCACAGAGACTGCTCAGTTGATGAATTTTGCTGGAAACCAAGTTGATTTCCAGTTTAACCTGCCTGGTTTCCTGCCAGCTCATTCACCAGACTCTTTAGCTCACTAACTGACAGGTTACTGAGGAGCTGGGGCTGTCAGGTTCCTGGCTCCTTTGGAGGTACCTGGTTCTGGGTAGCTGGGTTTAGTGGTGCTGGACAGAGAAAAGTAATTCTGTTTCCCAAAGCATTTAGATTTTTTTTCATCCCAAATCAGAACAAAACCAAATTTTAAAATCTCAAAATCCTTCATAATGTGGAATTACTGGTCCTCCCCTCCCCACGGCCAGGCTTACCATTTGTGAGGGGCAGCGTCCACCTCTGCCAGTGGGTGCAGTGATTCTGAGCCACCCCAGAGGGGCTGCAAAGTGAAGGGCAGAGCTATGGTAGTGCTCAGGATTGTCTGACACTATCCTGTTTGTCCCCTTTAACTCAGAATCCTGTCTCTTTGGATAGGCAGGATCTCTGCTCCCAGGAGCTCTGTCTGGTGCACTGCTCAAGGTCAGACTCTGACTGCATCACACATTTGGTGTTGGCGACACAGTGCCCCTGGCTTCCCCACAGCTTGGCCTCAGAGGAACAAATCCATAGGCAGACTAGGCTGGATGCTCTGCACCTGCCCCCGGACTGGGCTCCCTTTCCCTGGGGCCTCGTTGAGCTCACAGTCAGGTTTCTTAAATCAACTAATAAGCAGGCATGTTGATTTCTCTCTCTGAGGCAGGGCGGGGGACTGGAAATGAATCTTCTCGCCCTTGTCACCCCTGCAGCAGCTGCTGAGAGAAGCCAAACGGAACAGCTCTGTGTGCAAACATGTTGGCCCTTTGCACGCTCAGCCACCCACGGCTGGCCGGGGGGAGGGAGGGGTCTGGCCAGGTGCCGGGCACTTTAAAAGGGCAACACTTCAGCTAATGCAGCCAGGGGGCATGGTGTGGATCTAGTGACATCCCTGAGGAGGTATCGAGTGGCTGAAAAGGGGAGGAAAGAACCCAGCACTTAACTCCTCCCTGAAATGGAATGAAGAGAGAAACAGGGATAAGTTCAGAGCCCACTGCACTGTGGGGATACTGGCACTGGTGCCCACAGCCCGTTGCACCCGTAGGCCAGGGATGTGAATCTTGAAAGGCCTGGGCTTGGGCATTAGGGTTCTAGCAGGGGAACCCTGGTGTCTGGACCCTTCTGCACCAAGGACAGGGCTAGTCCGTTTTTAGTCATGCACTGAGTGCTCCACTCGGCTGCGAGGGCAGTTGCTTTTACACAAATTCATAGAGTCCAAGGTCAGAGGGAACCATTGTGACCAACCAGCCAGATCTCCTGTATAGCACCAGCTATAGTGCTCCACCAAATAATGCCTAGAGCACAGCTATTACAACAGCAGCCAAGCTTGAATTAACAATTGCCAGTGATGGAGAATACCCCACAACCTTTAGTAAGTTGTTCCAGTGGCTTCGCATTTACACCCTATTTCCAGTTTGGATGTGTCTGGCTTCCACTTCAGGCTTTACATCGTGTTCTATCTTTTCCTGTTAAATGTGTGTTCCCCAGGTAGGTACTTCTGCAACATGCTGGCAAGGCTGGGCGGGGGGGGACAGGGCAGGGACAGGCTGTGTTTCCAAGGCCAGATGATGCTTGGAGCTAGTAGCTGTTCAGCCACTGCGGAGCAGTTCTGGTGGCCACGACAGAGAGCAGATGAATGGTGGCATTTGCAGGATAAAAGCAGCATAGCAGCAATTGGGGAGTCCATCTGGCTGGACCAGCCTGGGTACAAGTGGAGTGGGGGTTGCATAAGGTTGAGGGGCAAAGAACCAGCAAGGGTGGGGAAAACCACAAGAGGTCTATAGGCATAGAACTGGTGCAGGATGGCAACTATGGGCTGCTGAGGAGGTGATACAGATGAGCAGCGAACCAGCCACCTCTAGGAATTAAAGGGGAGATTCCTGCAGAGAGGCCCAGGCAAAGTACTGGGGTTCTTACTCCGGACTCCAGCATCCCAACACGCAGCACCATCCCACAGTCAGGCCTTTTGCATTAGCTGGGCCCAGGCCGACATGGGGCAAAGGCCCTGAACAGCACTTCTGTGGAACTATCCAAATCTGTCCCATACTGTCACTGCCTCATGATCCCCAATACCAGGTTTCCCACCATAGGCTCTGGAACTAAGGGTCCTGCCAGACCTGTTGGCTTGAAGTGGTTTCCATCAAATATAGGATTTACAGTTTGGTTCAATGGCTCTCAGTATGACCAGGGGGGTGCCTGAGGCGGCCCTCACTAGACATGCCACGATCAGGGCAGGCTGCAAAAGGGAGAGCAGATACTCCCAAGATTGGTGGGGAACACTGAAGTTGGACTCCTCAACCAGTTACCAACTGTACTTCTGATCCCCGCACTGGTTATCAAGAAGCGAAAGAAGAAATCACACAGCTCCCTTTATTGCATTCCAGTCTCTGGCGCCAATCAGTACCTAAGTCTAGTGCAGTGAGAAGTTATTTTAAAACTGTTAACATGTACAAAATGTTCTTCTGACCCCAATTGGCCAGCCACATTACCAGGTCAGTATAGGTTTGGAACTTACCCAAAATAACATACTGC